GTCTCAGTGTGCTTTTCTCTTTCCTTCTAGTTGTAGAATTTCCACTCAGCCAGCCTTCCTGTAGTTCTGGATGATGTCCGTTTTGTCTTTTCGTTGTATTTTTGAAGTTGTTGTGGGAGGCAGCAATTTCTGGTGTTTACCTATGCCGCCATCTTGGTTTCTCCAGCTAGGCACTAAATTATAATAGTCACTACCATATTATTTAAATTCATTCGGCCATCTCATTACTCAGGTGTTGGTCCCCTTTTACAGGTGAGGAAGCTGGGGTTCAGAGAGGTTAAGTAACTGGCAGCAAGTCACAGAGCTGTGATGCAAATCAAGGTCTGCTTCTACCTCCTCACCCTGCACTTGGCCAGACCTGGACATGAGGCAATGCAGATACACTCCAACTATTTTGCACCCAGAAAAAATTCAGAAACAGTATTCTTTCTTATGATGCCATTTATTTTATATGTAATCTTTGAAAAAGTAAACTTTATTTTTTTAGAAAAGTTTTAGATTTTCAGGAAAATTCTGAAGATAGAGAGCTTCCATTTACCCTGCACCCAGCCCCCCTACCCCCCATTATTAACCCTAACATTAGTACGGTGTATTTGTTACAATTAATACATTTATATTGCTATATTAACTAAAATCCACATTCTTTTTAAAGTATATTATTTAAAGTCATAAGAACTGTGTGCAAGACTGAGTTCCCTCTTATGGCCCAAGTAATCTTGGGCAAGGTATGTAAGCTGTTGAATTTCTAAAACTGAAATAAAAAGAATGATTTCACAGAAGCATGTTGTTATATTTGAAGAAGGTCCAATACCTAACACCCATTTCCCTTGCTTGGGTCTGGTAGAGGCCAAACTATTTTCGTTAGGACTGCTAAAATCTATAAAGAGACATGTGACTTTTATCTGCAGTCTAGTGGTGTACAAATTCCAGAATAAGACAGATTTACACCACAGGCCACACTGGCCAGGTACGGGCTGGGAGGACAGAGGAACAACACGCAGTAAGCCGGGAAATTTTCTTCAAGGGACAGAGAAGGAAAGGGTGGGGCTTTGTATGCCCAGTTTCCCCATCAAACTTCACATCAATCAGTTGAAGTCATTCCCCTTCCCTGGGGAGACCAGCTGGGTGGGGAAAGGCCAGGAGCATTTATTAATGATGATTGGGCAGTATTAGAAGTCAGATTTACGATTAAGAATTAATCTACATGTGGGAGCTCAAATAATTGTATCTGGAATACAAGAAAGCATTTACTGCAACTAACTCCTGCAACAGATACTGATTTTTATTTTTCAGCAAACACAGTGGTGTTTTTGCTTCAGAAATAGTCAAGTTGCTAACCATGAGTAAGCATTCATGTAGGGTTGTTAAAAAGGTTATTTTGGGATGATCTCTTTATTGTGACTATAGAAAAGTCAGTTGAATGGTTGCACCCATTAATGCATTTTCCCACAATAATTTCAAAAACTGGCCCATTTACAGAGTCACCTTTTTGAAAAGACAGGATTCTAGGTTTCAATGGTTCAGAATATCCATGAATGAGGCCCAAGTCTTCCTTTTTGGAGACGACTAGAAACTCCGATGATCAAAGTTTGCACACACTATGGGGACAATGAACACAAATCTGAGTTTGGGAGAAAAACAAAAAAATTTTTTTTCCCTAAAAAACCATAGTCCTGAGTTACCAAGATGCATAAAAATGCCAATTTATTTTATAAGCTTTTCTTGCTTTAGAAGTCTTTCAAATGAGTAAACTATTTTAATTTCAGCAAAACTATAATATCACATAGTTTACCTGCTTACTATAAAGTATTAGCAGACAGGCTGTTGAGAAAAGTTAAATCTTTAGGAAGTTTGTGACTAGGGAGGCAAAAGCTTTACCTATAATTATATCATCATCATTTCCTCAGAAGGTATACTCTTTGAACAGACTAAAACGTAGATATAGCCAACATTAAAAAATAGAAACATGTTTGAAATTTACACACTCGTACTCCTCCATGTACTTCCTGCACCCACCCACAGCTTTCTCCAGGTTTTTTTTAGCCCTGGCTGAAGAACCTGCACACCCCCTTCCCTAAAGAGGCTTCTCTCCGGCTGGTATTAATACAGGGGCCGCTGGTGCTGTTCCTGTGTCCGCAGTAATGCTTTGTCCTTCCTACAGGAGCCCTGGATTCTTTCTAAATGAGAGTTTGTGAGTCCTCTCCACGCTGCCATGGGGCAGCAGGGTCAGTACTTTCCTGAACGAGGCCCAGGATGAACTCAGCAGATTCACAGAGCAGGTCATGGTGGAAGGTGAGTCAACAGTTGGGAATACAAATTTGTTTCTGCTGCTTTTGTATTTAAAAAAAACATTTTTTTTTTAGTTTAAGGAGAAAAATCAGGTTACCTATTTGCTTACTGCTGCCATTTCCTAATCTATTTAGCAACTTTCTCTTTACTGTATTCTAAATATACATAATTTGCATTCTCATATTCATACTAGACATCTGAATTAGCAGTTATTTGTTGAGTGCTATATCAGTTAGCTATTGCTGCATAACAAATCACTCCAAACCTTATCTGCTAAAACAATAAGCACTTATTTACATCATAATTCTGTAGGCTGGATAGGTGGTTCTTCTCTAGGCTGGCTTTGCTGTTCTTTGCTGGGCATATTTATATTCTCTGCCATCAGCTGGCATTTTGACTGGAGGCTGATTGGCCTCATTCATGTGTCTGGTTATTGGGAGGTTGTTGACTGGGGCCTGGCTGGCTAGGATACCTCAGATCTCCTCCTTATGCCCTCTTATCCTTTAGCAGGCCAGCTGAGGCTCCTTTACATGGTAATCTCAGGGTTCTAACCATCCTATATAATAAAAGGCTAATATGCAAATCGACCGAATGGTGGAACGACCAGTCGCTATGATGTGCACTGACCACCAGGGGGCAGACACTCAACGCAGGAGCTGCTCTCTGGTGGTCAGTGTGCCAAAAGATGGGCTCACGGCTGGCGAGAGCAGCGGCGGTGGCAGGAGCCTCTCCCAGACTGTGAGAGGGCACGGACTGGGCTGAGGCCACCCCCCACCCACCCACCAAGTGCACGAATTTCATGCACTGGGCCTCTAGTAGTAAAAGAATGTGCAAGTCTCTGCTTATTTCATATTGGCTAGTCTCCTTGTCTAAATCAAGTCACATGTCCAAGCCCAGATTCCAGGTGTGGTGCCACAGACTCTACCTCTCGTTGGGAGGAACTTCAAATTCACATTGAAGGGGCGTGCCTACAGGGATGGGTGTGTGTGTGTGTGTGGCTATTTTTCAATCTACCACAAGTGCCTAGTTTGTGAAAAGCTTAACATTTAAAAAAAATATGGATAAGGCATCTGCGGTGGTTTAATGGCTGGAATTTATATTTTATTTTAGTCTTATATGCTGATTGAGTTGCAAGTCAGGTAACTCCAGAAAGTAAAAAAAAAATCCCATTCAGCAATACAAATCCCTGCTTTTCTTTCACCACTTTCGTTTTCAGATTACCCACAGAACATGTTGCTACACAGCCACTGCAGATGGACAGAGGGTGGCGATTACAGATGGGGCGGGCTGCCCCTGCTCTGTCAGAGCAGGCTTCTCGGGTGTGCTGTTAACCTTCCACAATGCCACCATAGGCTAACGGTGACAGAAACAGGAGGAAAATAGCAATAGGACCAGCGGCCCCTGTACTCATACACAGCCGGAGAGAAGGGGGTGTGCTGGTTCTTCAGCCAGGGCTAAAAAAAACTGGAGAAAGCTGTGGGTGGGTGCAGGAAGTACATGGAGGAGTATGAGTGTAAATTTCAAACATATTTCTATTTTTTAATGTTGGCTATATCTACATTTTAGTCTGTTATTTTCTGAGGAGAAAAAATAGAGGTGACCTCACTGGGGGAGAGGGGAAGGGAGGGATGTGCGCATGATTTAGTGAATGGGCATATTTGGTGACTAAATAAAGGACATTTCGCTGAGACACAATCCCTGGATGAGACAGAAAGTGAGAAAAAACTCTGGGAGCGGTCACAAAGTGAGCTCATGCTTGATGTGATAATGTCTGAGGAAGGTGGCAATGCTGATGCCCGGACATCGATGCCACCTGGTCCTATTTCTTACATTCCTTGTTTATAATGAGGGAGAATCAGGTTGTACAAAGGGTCTTTCTTCCCTACCCAATCCTCTTCTCCTCACCTATGAAGAGCTTCTGTGTACTGTGATTCTTAGATAATTCCCCAAATGGCCTGCTCCTGAAGTCCTCTCTCCCATAAGCCAATAGACGCTGTCACTCTTGGTAAAGTACCCAGTGAGCACTGGGGAAATAGTTCCCTTTCTGAAATGCAACAAGCTTCAGCTTTGCTTGACGTCTTCTGAGAAAAAACAAGGCTAAGTGATGGGTAAATAACAGACTATTGCCTGAACTTCCATAGACCTCAGTTTTCCTCTAGTTTTGGAAAAGCCTAGGAGATAGGAAATAGATGTTAAAACATGGTGCTGAAAGTGCACTTCCAGTTTGTGGATCAGGGTCCTATGCTTAGAAAGGAGTCTTTGTGAGATATTGAACCATGGGCAGAGTATTGCCTAGGGCAGGGGTGGGCAAACTTTTTGACTCGAGGGCCACAATGGGTTCTTAAACTGGACCGGAGGGCCGGAACAAAAGCATGGATGGAGTGTTTGTGTGAACTAATATAAATTCAAAGTAAACATCATTACATAAAAGGGTACGGGTTTTTTTTTTTTTTTTTTAGTTTTATCCATTTCAAACGGGCCGTATCCAGCCCGCGGGCCGTAGTTTGCCCACGGCTGACCTAGGGCCAGGGGGAAGGGAACAATGGGGACATTATTGTTTAATAGGTATGGAATTTGAGTTTGAGATGATGAAACATTCTGGAGAATGGACAGTGTTCATGGTTGCACAGCAGTGTGAATGTATTTGATAATGAAAGGTGTCTGATGCTAAGACTTAATTTTGTAGGTGAGGAACTAGAGGCCCAGGGACATAGGGTGACTTGTTCAAGGTCAGAGCTGAGGGCAGAAATCGAATCTCAATTTCTCATCCAGTGTTCTACCTCATGCCATCTTTCTCTGTACCTAAGCTGGACAACTTCTTTTCAATAGATGCTCACTCACAAGACATTATTGCCAACATGTTTGACACAGATCAAAAGATCAGAAAATAGAACTTGTTGTTTTTCATTTGAACCAGTGCTAAAATATGATCCAGGTACTGGCTTTGAGTTCTTACCCTGACTTTCATGACTCAGTGACCAAGACTTTCTCTGTCGCAGTTTATTCATTGTAAAATAGAGACAAAGATGTTCAACAACTGAGCTACTGCTCAGCTTTCTGTAAGAAAGCAGATGACGTATAGAGAACAGTGCTGTGATTATGGGTTTATTGCTTTGTTTGTACAAAAATCATTTATTATTCATGAATTGTAAAGGCCTTCACTAAAATGAATCATCTCTTAACACTTTGAAAAGCCGAAGGTAATGATCAAAACGGTCACCACGCATATGGTACATAACTTGAGTTCATTAAGCCATAATCAAAGAACCCATGTTCTGTCTGCAAATCATGCCATCAGAAGGGCCATGAGAACTAAGGATTGAGCCTCAAGAAATCATTGAACTGTTCTGAATCTTACAAAGCCAGGAGTAAGAAAGGCATCCTGGAGAATTCTTTTGGGCTGTCCTTTAAATGGTAAACAACACAAGCACCAAGAACTCCACTTGGTCTGAAATTCTTGGCTTCCCATTCAGGAGCTGCTTCTAAATGTGGCAGCTCTTCCACTGCCTAATTAAAGTGCCTTTGCAGAACAGCTTCAAATCCGACAAAGATGAATAGCTGCCAAATGGGCCCTTTTCTTTGCTGGGCCTGTAGATAATTTGCATCCAGCTAATAAGACTTGGCACTAAAAGCTCAAAGTGGGGCACCACAAGGCTTCAGACGCTGGGTGAGGACTGTTCTGTGATTCTCAAACGTGCAATGGCTCTGTGGTGTGAGCTCAGATTATTCTGTTAGTAAATTGGGCAACTGCATGTTGGATAAAGTTATGTTACAAACCAAGCAAAATGAACACTACTCTCGTAGGTGCAATGGTTTCTAGTTTTGTGATTATGGAAAACATCCAGATTATGTCTCCATTTGCAGAGCAAGAACTGAAAATGACCATGGGGTGATAGACTGGTTAGGAGATTTGTGTTGAAGATCTGGCCCAGTGACTGAGTATCTTTGCTGGATTAAACTTTAGGCCTCTGTTTCCTCATCTGTGAAATAGATGGTGGGGCAGAGTTAGATTAGAACTTCTAAAGTGCTCTTCCAGTTCTAACAGCTTCTTATTTTATGGATAAAGGTAATAAGGCCCAACAACTTTCTTTGGATTATTTAAATTGCTCCATATAATGGTCTTACAAACCATGTTGTCCTGGTGATTTGTTCTATTTCCTGACTTTTCCCTGCAAACAAAATGGCATTGACACTTTATCCTGATTTTTTCCCCTCCTTTTTGGTTTCTGCCTATTCCAATTAAATATGTATGTATAAATAAAGTTAAAGTGTAGCAAATAAATAAATAAATAAATAAATAAATTGCTCCATATATCAAAACCCAATGGATTTTGAAATTATGTTGAGTCTGTGGTCTATCACCCTTCAACAAAGAATGTTAAGGAAGCTTAGTGCTTTGATTACTGCCTGGGCTAGCGATTCAGTGAGGACTAAGTTGTGCTAAAAGAAACAGAGGTCTGACTCCTGTGGTTTAAAAGCACAAAGGTTCCTTATTCCTTCTCTGGGGGTAGGAAATCCACAGCAGGTACTGTGGCTTTATAAAGAAGTTCCTTTGCGTGTGGCTGCTAACCTCAGGGTTACCTCCTACTTCAATATGACTGCTAGGATGCCAACCATTATAACTACATTCCAGGAGCAAGGGGAGATAGACAAAGGGGACTCATCCTTTGACTAGGAAATGTTGTTTTTTATCTGGGCACATTGCCAGCTCGAATAAAACTGGGGTCCTATTTTTAAGAAGAAAGGGGACCAGCCAGCAGGCTCAGTCATAGTCACTTATCTCAGTGGATTCCTTGGCTGAAGATCACTTCCTCAGTGTAGCACACTTTTCTCCCCAAACAAGGCCTGGTGGGTGAGGGCAGGAAGATCTGAACAAGCCCCTCTAGTTTCTAACACCTTGAAACCAAGCGAGGAGGCAAAAAGCATGTCTTCTTGATTGAGGGTTTGGAGGACCATTTTCACAGGCAAAAGGCAGCAAATTTAATTCTATTGCAGATGTCACT